TCTCTCTCTGTATCTAGAAACAATGGAAAAACAAATATGCCATAAATGAAAGTCAGAGACCACCAGATCGTTCAAAAATGACTATGAGAGACTTCATATATTACTTGCCAGATAGCAATCCAATGACGTGAGTAAACTTTTTGTCTTACTTTCTTTGAGTATCATCTATAGAGTAGTTTCATGTTTTCCAAAAGCACGTTGACAAAATTTATAGCAAATCTGATGTCCTTTTAAATAGAATTTTGCAACAAAAATTAGTGGTATTTCAAGTAACTGCTTTCTTGGTGGTAAATGATCCCTTTACCTCTGAGCTTAAAAGTAAGTTTCCTTTGTTACATTATTAAGATGTAGTAAAACTAAACAGCTTTTCTGTAATCATGATTGCAATTTCTGTTTCTTGTACACTATAACCTGATCTAAAGGGGTGATCTATTTATTAAATGAAGTAGCATTTGATTAAGAAATTCTCCAAGAACAAAGCTTCTTTAATCAGTTAGTCTGGGGAGGCCAGATTATGACAAATCTCCTCATTTTTGTTCGTTTCATGGTTTAGCCGGTGGATGTAAGAGTAGTGGCATATTTTTAGTATAGCCTTTTTCATATTCACTAGGTCTTTGGCCTAGTTCAGCTATTTTCAACTGATGCGCTGCAAGAATTCTTAAAACATGCAATACCTGACTATTTACTCAGGGGCACTGACCTCTCTTCCCTGAGATTATTAAATAAAAAAAAAATGACAACAGCCAACACAATAATAGCTGTCTGGCGTGAATGATTCAAAATGATACCTATTTTTTTTATGTCAGTTCAGCAAAAAATACATTTTTTGATGTGCCGCAGAATTTTAGTAATTAATTTATGTGTGCCATGAGATGACAAAGGTTGAAAATCACTGGCCTAGTTGAAGGTAAGTCCAGAAACCTAGGTTTTGAATGGTTTGATAAGGCCACTAGGTGGCTTCATGCCTTTGGACTGGGAGCCTGTCTTCACTGAGGAATTAGAGGGTAAGAGAGTTTCCTACTTAGGGCCTAATAAATTATTTATACTCGGTTTTTGACTAAAGAATTGACTGTTGGGACACGCCATCATTAATAGTAGTATTATGGTATATTATTGAAAAAATGCAAGTTAAAATAATTCTTGCCTACAGATAGAATTGACAAGATGTAAATTAATTATTTATTAAGAAGTATTCTGTTATTTTTGTTTAATAGTTCCTCACTGGAGCAAGAAAAGAAAACTGAAAAGTCATTGACACCAGTTCAGACAAGAGAGTAAGCGTCTCATCTTATTCTTTTTAAATATATTCTGGTATGGATACATTAAAAAAAAAGAAATCAAATGATACTTTTTATAGTCAGATTACATGTGATAGCAATTTTTAAGTAGAATTGTTGATAAGAATAAACTTAGTTTGATTTTAGTCAGTAGGAAAACCCCAGACTACTTATGTATTACATATATATGGCCAGTGTTATGATTTTACATTAAAGCTTTTAGAATTAAAAGGGGTTTTGTTTTGCTTTAAAATAATAATATATTCACATGCTACACAATTCAAAAGGAACGAAGATAATACTGAGAAAAATCTCCATTTCTGTTTTTTGGCCATTTAGTTTCCCCAGGGGCAGCATGTTACCATTTTTAATGTATTGTTCTAATTCTAGTCTATGTTTATTCAAGCAAACATGTATATAGTATTTTTCTTTTTCCTTTCCTTTCCCCCTTTTTTTCCTTTTTTTTCTTCCCTCTTCCTTTTCCCCCGCCCTCTCCCCCCCTTTTTTTAGCATTCTGTGTATGCCATCCTGCAATGGATGTAGTTTTGATGTCACTAGCGAGTCTTTTTTTGTATAAGCTGCCTGTTGCCTTCCACATTGCACTGTCATTTTAGTTTACCAAAAAGAAAGCCCTCTAAGAGACCCCTTAGGAAGTTATTGTAGCCTTGTAATTCATGGTGGGGGATCGTGGAAAATTGGCACAAACATTGGGGTTTTCTGGTTGGTACTTCAAAGCTTATTAAGTAATGATTACTGTTTTGTTTAGAATCCACATTATCTTAAAGCAGAACTCGCAAGCTTTACAAATGCATTATGTTTTTATAGATTTATAGGTATGTTTGTATTAGTAATACCTTAAGGAGACAATGTAATTAAATGGAAGGTATAATGGATTTGGAGTCATATTCAGAAAATTGTGTTTGGCTTCTTAGTGAAGCCTACACAAATAGTAATGTTTCTGTAATCTAGAGGAAAAGTTACTTGTCTTCTCCAAGCTTCAAATGAGTATGAAAGTACCCATAAATGTTTTTCTGAGAGTTATTAAAATGATTTGGGAACTAATGCTACATAACTGTAAGGGTTATTTTAGTTACTTCTAAAATGTGTAGAAGGTTTACTCTGATATTCTTTTGAGATAGAGAAGAGGAGCATTTATTTCTCTTTATTTTTTATTTTTTTTTAAATATATTTTATTGATTTTTACAGAAAGGAAAGGAGAGGGATAGAGAGTTAGAAACATCGATGAGAGAGAAACATCAATCAACTGCCTCCTGCACGCCCCCTACTGGGGATGTGCCTGCAACCAAGGTACATGCCCTTGGCCAGAATCGAACCTGGGACCCTTGAGTCCACAGGCCGACCCTCTATTCATTGAGCCAAACCAGCTAGGGCTCTTTATTTTCAAAGAGAGTAAGGGTTCTTATTAAATGCTACCAGATGAAATTTGAGAAAATCTTATGACCATGTCATTAACAAAATATAGTATTTTCTTTTATTTATTGATTGGTTGATTAGAGAGAGAGAGAGAGAGAGAGAGAGAGAGAGGAGAGAAAAGAGACATGGATTTGTTCCACTTTTTATGCATTTATTGGTTGATTCTTGTATGTGTCCTGACTGGAGATTGAACCTATATATTTGGCATATCAGGACAACTCTCTAACCAACTGAGCTACCGGGTAGGGCAACACATAGTATTTTAGGTTATAGGGGAAGTTGGAAATTGTAGAAGGTTGAATTTGCAATAATTTATTTTAGAAGTCCGTAGTAGTCAGAAACACTTCTCATGGATATATGAATCAACTTGTGTTTACCTTTGATAGGCAAGAAGATAAGAGTACACCTGATGTTGAAGATAATGAAGAACTGGAAGAAGAGATGGATGATGGCCCATTGCTGGTTCCCCGAGTAAAAGTGGCAGAAGATGGTTCTATAATTTTGGATGAAGAAAGGTAAGTTAAAGAGAGTGAGAGATTGTGGTTTCATGAGAACAAAAGTGCTTTGTTTAATGAAAAAGATTGGGTTTCTCTGTCTTTGTCATTTTGACTCTGATGTTTGTATTAGCATAATGGATGTTGTACATAGAAGGGTGTGTTAGATTCATTTATAATTTTTAGCAGTTTTTATTTTTTAAAATATATTTTTATTGATTTCAGAGAGGAAGGAAGAGGGAAGAGAGATAGAAACATCCATGATGAGAGAGAATCATGGATCGGCTGCCTCCTGCAAGTCCCTCACTGGGATCAAGCCCACAACCTGGGCATGTGCCCTTGACTGGGATTGAACCAGGGACCTTTCAATTCGCAGGCCGACGCTCTATCCACTGAGCCAAACCAGCTAGGGCAGCAGTTTTTATTTTTAAAATATCTTTTAGCCATGCCAGTGTGGCTCAGTGATTGAGTATCTACCTATGAACCAGGAGATCACAATTCAGTTCTTGGTCAGGGCACATGCCTGGGTTGTAGGCTTGATCCCCAGTGTGGGTTGTACAGGAGGCAGCTGATCAAGGATTCTCTCTCATCATTGAAGTTTCTGTCTCTCCCTCCCTCTCACTTCCTCTCTGAAATCAATAAAAAACAAAACAAAAAAGACATTTTAAAATTGCTTTTAGAGAGAGAGACAGATAGACAGAGACAGACAGGCATCTATTTGTTCTTTCACTTATTCATTCATTCATTCATTGAGTGATTCTTGTATGTGCCCTGACTAGGAATCAAGTCTGCAACCTTGGCGTATCAGGATGATGCTCTAAGCTAACCGGCCAGACCTATATTTTTTTTAGCAATTTTTTATAACTTTGTATTCTGTATGAGAAGATAGTACTTCTGACCATTAACCTACCATTGTTGTTTTACCAACTTTACTGGTAATTGGGATGAGCTATTGAGCTAATCATATGCTTTCTTCTTCTGAGGATAGGTTTCAAAGATTGACTCAGTCTTGAAGTCAATATTCAAGTTTTCATACTATTAACTAATACCATATTCTGTTGGATGGTGGTAACTAATGAAAATGCAATGAAATGTAGGTTAACATGTTTTCTGATTTTTGTTATGGTGAGGTTTAATTCACTTCTGGTTTTTTTTTTTTTGTTGTTTTTTTTTAAATATATTTTATTGATTTTTTTACAGAGAGGAAGGGAGAGAGATAGAGAGTTAGAAACATCGATGAGAGAGAAACACCGATCAGCTGCCTCCTGCACATCCCCCACTGGGGAAGTGCCCGCAACCCAGGTACATGCCCTTGACCGGAATCGAACCCGGGACCTTTTAGTTTGCAGGCCGACGCTCTATCCACCGAGCCAAACCGGCTTCGGCCACTTCTGGTTTAATTTCTCAGTTATGATATTAAATTTCTCATATTTTGCATTGTGGAATTTAGTTGTCTTTCCAAAGTATGTTATTTTATTTTTATTTTTTTCAGTGTATTACTTTATTTTATATTTTATTGATTTTTTACAGAGAGGAAGGGAGAGGGATAGAGAGTTAGAAACATCGATCAGCTGCCTCCTGCACACCCTCCACTGGGGATGTGCCCGCAACCGAGGCACATGACGACCAGAATAGAACCTGGGACCCCTCAGTCCACAGGCCGACTCTATCCACTGAGCCAAACCGGCTAGGGCAGTAAGAAATAATTTTATAGCATATAGATTCTATCATAATTAAACATAAATGTGATACTGTTAATGATAATTATTTTTGCATGTTGTTTTCCATTATTTTGTGATGATAATTTTACTGGTCATTAAATAAATAGTTAAAAGCATATTTAACTGATTTGTGTGCAGGAATGTAAAACAAATATAAAATGCTTATATTTCTCAATATCCTTTTTTGAGTCTAGCATAAGATAATATATATTGAGTCTGCCCCCCGGTGGTCAGTGCGCATCATGGCAACTGGTCAAGCAGTCGTTCTGGTCATTAAGCTGTTACGGTTGCTGGGCTTTTATTATGTAGAATAGGAGACAGGCAGAAGTCATTAAAACACATAATTTTTTTAAGTAGCCCAAAGATATTTTCTGAGTTTTATATTGCTTTTAGGATTAAAAAAAGAAGTTGACATTTATTTTTACTCCCTGACAATCACATTTTATTTTATTTTATTTTTTACTATATTGATAGAGAGAAATGTTGATTTGTTGTTTCACTTATTTATGCATTCATTGGTTGATACTTGTATATATTCTGACTGGGGCTTGAACACACAACCTTGGCATATTGGGACGATGCTCTAACCCAGTGGTCGGCAAACCGCAGCTCGCGAGCCACATGCGGCTCTTTGGCCCCTTGAGTGTGGCTCTTCCACAAAATACCATGATAATTTTACTGGTCATTAAATAAATAGTTAAAAGCATATTTAACTGATTTGTGTGCAGGAATGTAAAACAAATATAAAATGCTTATATTTCTCAATATCCTTTTTTGAGTCTAGCATAAGATAATATATATTGAATACTAGAGGCCCAGTGCACGAAATCGTGCGTGGGTAGGGTCCCTAGGCCTAGTTTGTGATCAGGGCCATCTTCCGCCCGCTCGCCAGTCCCCAGTCCCACCCCGCTGCCACCCACCCCAGTTCCCTGTGGTTTCCCGCTCGCAGTCCTGCGATCAGAGCCTGCGGGCCAAGGGGAGGGACCAAGCAGTCGGCCATTCCGCCCGCTCGCCAGTCCTCATCCCCAGTCCTGGCACACTGCCACCCACCCATTGATAGAGAGAAATGTTGATTTGTTGTTTCACTTATTTATGCATTCATTGGTTGATACTTGTATATATTCTGACTGGGGCTTGAACACACAACCTTGGCATATTGGGACGATGCTCTAACCCAGTGGTCGGCAAACCGCAGCTCGCGAGCCACATGCGGCTCTTTGGCCCCTTGAGTGTGGCTCTTCCACAAAATACCATGTGCGGGCGCGAACATACAGTGCAATTGAAACTTCGTGGCCCATGCACAGAAGTTGGTTTTCAGCCTGGGTGAGTCTATTTTGAAGGAGTGGCGTTAGAAGAAGTGGGGGGGTGTCGGTCAGTCGGGCGACAGGATACGCAGCGCAGGGGAGGCGTGCACGATTCATGCACAAGTTGAGTGAGACTGGCTATAAGACGAGTGTGGATGGGAGAGTTGGAAGGGGTCGACCTTAGCGAACATACTTCAATCAGATTGAGGACATTTTTAGCAAAGGCCAGCTTAGGAGTACCCTCATTAAGTTAATAACAATGTACCTACCTATATAATTTAAGTTTAAAAAATTTGGCTCTCAAAAGAAATTTCAATCATTGTACTGTTGATATTTGGCTCTGTTGACTAATGAGTTTGCCGATCACTACTCTAACCAACTGAGCTACCTGGCTAGGACCCCTGGCAATTATATTTTAAGTGAAACTTCGATTCATAGAAAATAAGCATACCTTAAATGTATTTGTACTTTTGATATGACTCTGCCATGCTAAATTTAAAGGTATCACTATTCAAATATTATTTGTTATGTGTTTCTTGTTTTTAGTGTGGATCCATCTAAAAATGTGTTTCTTTCAGTTTAACTGTAGAAGTTTTAAGGACCAAAGGCCCCTGTGTTGTTGAGGAAAATGACCCCATATTTGAGCGTGGCTCTACAACTACATATTCCAGCTTTAGGAAAAACTATTATTCTAAACCATGGTCAAATAAAGGTAACTAATTTTCATTTTAAATTATGTAGGTCATTTATTTGAAATGTAATGAATTATTTTCTCTGTTTTTGAATTACACCAGGTCTTCCCTAAGTAAAGTGCAAACTACCATGCCGTTTCTGTCTAGCTAATTTTATTGACATTCCCTCCAATCCCTGTCCCATGGAGCTATAACTCCGACTTTATCTTAGAAAGATTTTTAGAAATTAACATTATGGTCATTTTGGTTAGAATGTCTCTCTGTCAAATTCCTATTCTACCTTAGATAATATTGAATAATAAAGTTTCTACAAATAAAAATTATGCTGTTAAAAAAAGTGTATCTATTGCATGCTGTTGCTTATTATTTACATTAAAAAATATTTTTATTGTTGATAGATTACAGATGTCTTCCATTCCCCCTCCCCTTTCCCCTCTTCCACCCAGCCCCTGCCCCGCTCCTCCCCTCACCCCAGGTCTTCACCTATTGCCTGTGTCCATGGGCTATGCCTATAAGTATATAAGTTCTTTATTTTATCTCTTCTCGTCCCCCCAATCCCCTATTGTTTACTTTTTATTGTATAAATAATAGTTTGTTTTGGGAAAAAATTCAAACACAATAGAATAATATAGAGTGAAAAGAAAATTCTCTACTTTCCTTCTCTGACTTCCCCCAATCCTATTCATTTGAGGTTACTTTTGTCAACAGTTATTTTTCTAGCTATTTTATTTTTTTAAAATTTGTTAAAAAAATATTTTTATTGATTTCAGAGAGGAAAGGAGAGGGAGAGAGATAGAAACATCAATGATGAGAGAGGATCATTAATTAGCTAGCTCCTGCATACTCCCTATTGGGGACTGAACCCGAAACACGGGCATGTGCCCTGACTGGGAATTGCACTGTGACCTCCTGGTTCACAGGTGGATGCTCAACTGAGCCACAGGGGTCGGGTCTAGCTACTTTCTTTCATGTACTAAGCACATCTTAGTAATATTGTATTGGCTGTGACATTTGGAGAGCAGAATGTCTTTTTTTTTAATTTAATTCTAGCTGCTTTGGTATGACCATGCAAATTTCTTATACCATGTTTCTATATAAAAGTGTAAAGATGTTTTTAATTTAAAAAAATTTTTAAATTGACTTTTAGAGAAAAAGGAAGGGTGGGGAAGAGAGAGAGAGAGAAACATCGATGTGAGAGAGAAACATCAATCGGCTGCCTCTCCTGCATGTCGCCTACGGGGTCAGTGGGGTGGGGATGAAGCCTGAAAACTGGGTATGTGCCCTGACCAGGAATCAAACCAGCAATGCAGGGGACAAAACCCAACCAACAGCCACACTGGCCAGAGCTAAATTTTTTTTTTAATTGATTGATTTGAGAGAGAGAGCGAGAGAGATCAATTTATTGTTCCATTTATTTATGCATTCATTGGTTGCTCCTTGTATGTGCTCTAACCAGGGATTGAACCTACAACCTTGGCATATCAGGACCCTGCTCTGACCAGCTGAGCTACCAGGCCAGGGCTTAAAGAAGATGTTTTTAGATCCATGAGGTTCTTTGCAACAGAATTTTAATATGTTTATAATTTGTGTGTAGATGTATTTCTATGACTGAAGAATTTACTGGACTGTAATAATAAACTACTAAGTACTATCAAATTTATTTTAACTCAAAGTACATACTTAAGTAAGGTTTTTTCCTCTGAAATATTGAGAATGTTAACTTTTGGTCTTTCTAAATCTTTTATTTTTACAGAAACAGATATGTTTTTTTTAGCCATCAGCATGGTAGGAACTGACTTTTCTATGATTGGACAACTTTTTCCTCACAGAGGAAGGATAGAAATTAAGGTAAAGTGAACACATTACATTTGTTGATTGGAAAGAGACTAAAAATTACTAATATTTTTTTAACCATTGATTTAAATCTCAGTTCACTCCTTTTTCACTATTACGTTTTTGGTACACCTGTTTCTTTTTACAGCTCAAAAAGTAATGTAATTTTTCTGAGTTCTGTTATGAATATAATTTCCTTAACTTTAGTATTGTATTTTTTTTATTTATGTCTTGTCCAATTCTAAATGTCTTTGAGAGTATACCAATACAGCCACTGAAACTAAGATAAAAGAAGAGTTATGTAATGAAGAGGGAAGATAAATGTACTAGAATATTTGGGTTAAGGGTAGTTTTTTGATTGCAAAATAAATTTCTGTATCTCCTAGGGAGGAAATACATTTCCAATTGATAGTGAGATCTTTTTTCAATAGTGGGCTTAAACTTCATTAATTAAAGGGACCATTTGGAAAGATAGATTTTTCCCCCCTCCTTGGGCTAGGCATGGATTGGTCACGTGAGGAACATTGAACAGTGTAATGGTCATTGTATTTCTACAAAAGATGATAAATTTTTTATATTTTTTTAATGTTGAGGATAAAATATTAAAGTTATGTGAAGGCTAGAAATTGATTGTCTAGAGGAGCTGATCTGAGTAATTAATGATAAATTTGTCACTAGATGATTTCTCTCAAAAATTGTTTAGACTATTCCCCTAAAAGCTTATAGTGTAGTTTCAGCAGGTCTTTGGGAAAAATGTAGAAAAGTGAAAGTGGACTACTGATTTTCGAATGTCAAACCAACCTTGGATTCCAGGGATAAATGATTAATATAATATAGTCTTCAGAAACTTTTAAATAGTATTTTAAATCAATTAGATAAAATAGATGTAGCAATATTTTAGAAGTCAATACTGCATAGAGCCTATTGGCATTTTTATCAGGATGTTTAGTGATTATAGCCAGTCACCTTTTATGAATGTAACTTTTAACTTTTGAGATGTTTAAAGATTAATATGCTCTTTTAAGGGAGAAAGATGATCACTCAAAACTTTTATATTATTTAGTAAAAGTTTATGAAGAAAAGTAAAGAATGGAAATGAGGGGTAATCTGTAGATTTAAAGATGTTTAAGTCATGAAAAGTTTTTTTAAAAATTGGCAAGGATAGCCCTAGCTGGTTTGGCTCACTGGATAGAGCGTCAGCCTGCGGACTGAAGGGTCCCAGGTTCGATTCCGGTCAAGGGCATGTACCTTGGTTGCGGGCACATCCCCAGTCGGGGGTGTGCAGGAGGCAGCTGATTGATGCTTCTCTTTCATCGATGTTTCTAACTTTCTATCCCTCTCCCTTCCTTTCTGTAAAAAATCAATAAAATATATTTAAAAAAAATAATTAAAAAAAAAATTGGCAAGGATAAACTGGAGTCTAACGATGTTCTCTTGAATGGTAAACAATAAGAAAATGCAAGAAAGTAATTGCTTTAAAAGTCAGGTTATTGGTTGGGTTCTTTCGGAGGGAAGAAGGGGGCCATGAAATAGCTCCTTTGTTTTCTGTGCTTTTCTCTTATTTTCAATAATAAGTTTCATTTTTATATTTTTAATAAGAGCATTATTAGACCACTGATCTGTAGAAGGGAGCAATTAGCAGGTTGTTCCCAGAACTGGGATGTGTATGCATGATTAGACATCCTGGGACACAAACTTACGCCCTCAGATATCCTGATTACCTTAGGATGGATTGAGCCTTAAATCTTTTCTATCTCCATTGTAATGGACTTAATCTGGAGTGGAACTGGCTTTGGGGCATGAGAAAATGTGCCTTAATATAAAGAAGGTTCGAAAGATAAACCTGGCCTGTTTCAAAATTTTGCTTAGGTGTTTCTTTACAATCTCTATTCCATGCCATTAAAAATATATTAGCATAATAATATAATAGGTTTAACTTGATATGAATATATTAGTTTTTAAATTTATATATATTTTTATTGATTTCAGAGAGGAAGTGAGAGAGAGAAACATCAGTGAGAGAGAATCATTGATCAGCTGCCCCCCGCATGCCCACACTGGGGATTGAGCCTGCAACCCAGGCATGTGCCCTGACAGGGAATCGAATTGTGACTTTCTGGTTCATATGTTGACAGTCAACCACCGTGAGCCATGCAAGCTGGGCAATATATTAGTTTTTAAAGAGTTAGTTCTGGTTAGCTTAACACATTTCGTACTGCTCAGGAGTTTTCTCGTGTTTCGCGCCATCTGTTAAGGACCACTCATGAGTGTTCTCGTTTTTCACGCCCATGGAAAAAGGAGCAAATCTAGATACTTACGTAAATTTTGTTTGGTCCCTCTTCATAGAGGAAAATGTTTTATACAGTACCATACGTTAAAAAAGTACTAGGAACTTTAATTGTTTTTGTAAATAAAAATGTTATAATTATTGAAAAACAAAACCTAAAGTGCATTATGATGATTTAAATAACGTTCAGTTTCCCCAAAAACGTGCGGTTCCTGGCGTATGTCATAGAGATTTCTATGCAGTACGCAACGTGTTAATTGATTATAGGTTTGATCTGTTTCTGTGCTAGTGGACTTTCATTGCTGATTCATGCTATTGATTATAAGGAAGATCAGGAAGCTCAGTATAAATCTTACATCCCCATTTTTTCAAAGCTAAAGGTTTATTAACTTGTCTGTTGGGAAAGACATTTTTATTTATTTGGGTTATATGTTACGATAAGTTTCATTTTAATGATTATTTTTTTAAAATGTAATCCTAACTTGTTTAATAGGAGAAAATTACTATAGCATTTCTTGTTTTGTTAACAGAATAAATTTAAACGTGAAGAGAAAACAAATGGATGGAGAATAGACAAAGCATTCCGTAAGTATTAAGATCTCTTTAATAAGGTTTCATATCAAGGTCCTAAAAAGTGATCAATCTCTATCTTTGGATCTAATGTGTTTTGTTTTGGTTCTTAATATATTTTTATTGATTTCAGAGAGGAAGGAAGAGGGAGAGAGAGAAAGAAATATCGATGAGAGAGAATCAATGATCGGCTGCCTCCTGCCCACCCACTACTAGGGAACGAGCCCACAATTTGGGCTTGCGCCGTTGACATGAATTGAACCTGGGACCCTTCAGTCCACAGGCCTATGCTCTATCCTGAGCCAAACTGGCCAGGGCAGGTTCTAATGTGTTTTAAATTTGTTTTGTCCTTATATTGGTATGGAGTATATAATGGTGACAGAACAGGTGAGAATCCTGCTTTTATAGTGTTCAGTGTCATTGGGTGGGGGAAGGGATATAGTCTGTGAGCATGATAATTTTAGATAGTGATTAATTTCTAAGCTAGGTGGGTGGAGAGTTAGATAGATTGGGTGGTCAGGGAAGTTCTGTCTGAAGAAATGACACTTGAATTTATGCCTGATTTGAAGGAATAATGTGTGCCTTTTAGTGTCTAATGGCCTCATTAAAGTTCACGTTTTTTTCTTTTTAAATCTAGAGAAAGATATCAAAGGATCTGTAAAGCAAAACAAATGTACTATATAAAGTAGTTCCTCTATTCTTTGGAAGATAATTATCCAATGCTTCATGATGAATAAATGTATTTAGTGTTTATTGTAGTGCTTATCTTAAAAAAAAACCTAAAGAGAGGATCTAAATTTTGGAGCATGCATATTTATTTAATGAGTAAATACTAAAGTAGATGAGTGGACCCACACCCCATATTGTATTGGGTCCTCAGGGAAACCACTTCCAGGAATGGCTTTTGGAAGACCTGGAATACTATGGTTCTCAACCCCCTCCGTTTTAGGGAAGTGATCCAGGATGTTTTCATTATGCTTTATGTATTATAATAACAATTTATAAACCTATAAATCTTTTATGGAATGTGGAGCCATTGTTCAAACCATTATAATAGACTAGAGGCTTGTTGCAGGAATAGGGCTTCCTATTCCTGCAAGAATAGGGCTTCCTCGGACCTATTACTGCAAGAATAGGGCTCCCTGAGGCTGAAGCGAAGTAGAGAAGGGAGCGAAGCCCGCCTCAGCTCCCTCCCGTCTCTGCTGCCTTGGCTCCCTCCCTTCTCCACTGCTTTGCTCCATCCCCTCTCTGCTGCCTTGCTCCCTCCCATGCCCGCTGCCTCGGCTCCATTCCCTTCTCCACCGCTTTGCTTCCTTCTGCAGTGCTTGGCTTCCTTCTAGCTGTCTTCAGTCTTCACTCTGTGCCTGTGTATGCAAATTAACTGCCATCTTTGTTGGGTTAATTTGCATATCACTCTGATTGGCTGGTGGACATAGTGGAGGGACAGTCAGTTTGCATGTTTCTCTTTTATTAGTGTGACTAGAGGCAAAGCACGTAGTTGTAACCCTAACCTTAAACTATGGACAAATGAAAAAGAGTCAATTTAACACTAAATCAAAAATTAGAAGCCAG